CCTAAAAAATTTTTTTTGGCTGGGACTTAAGAAGAACGCCATGAAAACAAGCGTTTTTAAGCGAAAAAGTGCTTATTGCCCCCCCTGAAAATTATGGTCCGGCCCGCCAATGCATTGCATAAAAGACTGACCGGGACCAGTATGAAAAATTTTTAGTCCCGGGACCGGGACCGGGACCACTTTGCAGTTCCCTAGAATAGAGTCTATCAGGTTCGATTTGAGGGAGACTATGGGATTTATTTTAAGAGTTTCTAAACAAGGGAATAATTTGATCGTTTATTATTTTGTTTATTCGCTGATAATATATTTTATTGAATAAAAAAAAAATTTCTTTTAGTTTGTCTCGATACAAATTGAAATTTTCACCTGATAAAGTTGATACAATGATTGTTCAAGCAATTTGTATGTATATTCAATTTGTTAATTTTAATCTCTTTTATTTTCTTCATAGCTTTATTGGATGATTTGGATAAAGAAGTAAATAATTATATAATGCGATGTAAAGAATGGTATGGTTGGCATTTTCCTGAATTAGCTAAAATCATTCAAGATAACGTTGCTTTTTGCAAGACAGTTCAACGAATAGGTTTGCTTCTTTTCTTTTTTTTGTTTTATATTTTAATCAATGTTTTTTTAATGATCAATATAGGTTATCGAACAACTGCAGTTGAACTTGATTTATCTGATATATTACCAACAGATGTCGAAGCACAAGTTAAAGAAGCAGCTGAAATTTCAATGGGTACAGAAATATCCGAAGAAGATATTACAAATATTCGCCATTTATGTGCACAAGTATGTTTAGTTGAATTGTTTCGTATGAGAAAAAAATGTATGTCTCATGTTCGAATCTAACTTAAAGAAAATTACCAATAATCTATGATGATGTTAGTTACCGCCCCAGTCTGAATATCCATACACAGGTTGAACGGTCCCATACTGAGATTATTGGTTTAATATAAATTTTTATTATTAAAATTTATTTTAATTAGGTTATTGAAATATCTGAATATCGTGCACAATTATTTGAATATCTTAAAAATCGTATGATGGCTGTTGCACCAAATTTAACTGTTCTTGTTGGTGAACTTGTTGGTGCTCGACTTATTTCACATGCTGGATCATTACTTAATCTTGCTAAACATCCGTCATCAACCGTACAAATTTTAGGTGCTGAAAAAGCTTTATTTCGTGCAATGAAAACTAAACATGATACACCAAAATATGGTTTAATTTATCATGCATCATTAGTTGGTCAAACATCTGCTAAACTTAAAGGAAAAGTTAGTCGAATGTTAGCTGCAAAAGCAGCATTATCTATACGAGTTGATGCACTTGGTGATGATACAGAAGCAACATTAGGTATTGAACAACGTGCAGATTTAGAAAAGAAATTTGCAATACTTGAACAAAATGCGGTATAGATAATTTGAATACATAAATAAAAAAAAAATTTACTTTTTATTTTAAGACAAAACGTATATCGGGAACGGGTAAAATGCAAGCGAAATTTGAAAAATATCAAAAAAATTCGTATGTTATTAATTAATTTTTCAATTTTTTGTTTTTTTTTTGTATTATTGTTTTTTGTTGTTGTTTTGTACATAGTGAAAAAGGACAATTTAATCAAGATCAAGCTTCAACATTGCCTTATAAACGCCATTCCGATTTTGGTGGACGAGGTGGTGCTAACAAACGATTTAAAAGTGATAACATGAATAAATCATTTGTTGTTTAATCTAGTTGTTTTGATCATAAGTGATCATAATTGTTATTTGTTTTTTTTCTAATAAATTTAGAAAACGAAAGCAAAACAAATGAAAATAATATTTGCTTAGTTTTTTTTTTCCGATCGATATATATATATCCTGACTTCTCCCTTGAAATACTTATTTCATAGAATTTCAAGTAGTAAACGTCAGGTAAATTATATAAACTAACTCTTCATTCCAAAATAACCTTGTTGTGTTCTTTGATCAATAAGGTTAGAGGCATAGAACAGAGTACAAAAGAAATTTCTGTGTAGTGCAAACTGTAATTTAGACATAATGCTTTATATTGATGGACAAACTCAAACATGACATCCGTTGTGCTTTCGTTATAATTATAATGTGCACATATATACAGGAAGATGGAACGGAAAAGAAATCTTTTTTTTTTTTTTCGGTTCCATATGAATAATGACTGGATGTCTTAGGGTTTATGTTTATTTCAAGTTTTAATATAATATAATCAAAAGAACGATCAGCATGAGTCTGTCAATAAAGACGAAAAATATTAATGTGCTGGCTCGAAATCCCAATTTGTATGAATAATAGTTCTATATAAATTATTTTTATTAAATACTACAGTAAAAAACAAGAAATGTCATCATAATTTATACTACAAATTCATGTTAAAATCATCGAGAAATTCGACATGAAAACAAAAAAAAAATATATATTATTCAACTAAAAGTATTGTATATTGTTAAAGATTTTATTCTTCAAATTTTTCTCTTTTTTAAAAGAATAGTAAAATCATTTATCATGCTACTCTTAAATATTAAGACAAGTCTTCAAAACAAAATTTTGTTTTTGTAATTGTAGAAAAAACAAAAAAATTTGATTCTCGAAATATAAGCTCTTCAAATTTTATATATAAACCTAAAGGAAGTCAAAATAACCCTTTTTTTTCTTTATTCTGTCAATCTCTTGAGTAACATAAAAACTTCTTTTTTTTTTCTTCTATTGAAATACTTCGTCATCAATGTAACCAATGAAATATCTTCTTTTTGCAAATATTCATATTATTTTCCTATTGGATAGAATACGAAAGAGCAAGAGAAAATATTTTCTCTCTCTCTCTCTCAGTCTTAAATTACCCCTAATTATTATCGATGAAACGAACACATATAGCTTATCGTCAACTTATTGTAAAGAAAAAAGAAACCAAAAGCAGATCATTATTATCATCATCATCATCATCAGCCTAATCTTTAAAAAAAAAAGACAATTTACTCCCCAATTGATCGTTTTTCTTTCTTTGTATTGTATACATCAATGCATCGTCAACCGTAATTATCGAAGGGAAATTACGCTTACGCTCGTCTAACTTCATTAATTTCTTATTCATCGCTATTATTATTTCATCGTACAAATTATAACTATCGAAATTATCCAAAACGAAAAAAAAAAAAAGAAGAAGAATAAGAAAAAAAAATGATGCATAATGAACCAATCCAAACACTTCCACCACCATTACCACCATCATCAAATGCATTTCTTGATTTTACTAATCAAGAACAACCATCAACAATAGACATATCAAATCCAACTAATCAACAATATTCAAATTTTATTCATAATTCCTATCCAATATCACAAGAACAATTTTATTCATCACCTTATTCATATCCATATAATATACCATATTCATCATTAACAATTGATTCAAATCTTGATGAAAAATCTCATTATGATAATCCACCTAAATTAACAATAAAAGGAAAAAAAATTCGTAAACCAAGAACAATTTATTCTAGTATGCAATTACAAGTACTTAATAAACGTTTTCAACGTACACAATATCTTGCTTTACCTGAACGTGCTGAATTAGCTGCATCACTTGGACTTACACAAACACAAGTAGAAGAATCGTTTTATTTTTTATTTTCTCTTTTGCAAAATATGAAAAAAAAAATAAACATTTGTTTTTTTTTCTGATATTTTAGGTGAAAATTTGGTTTCAAAATAAACGAAGTAAACAAAAAAAAGTTGTTAAAAATGTTAGTCATCATTCATCGTCGTCTTCCCAACCCTCTAACCCGAATTTATCACCACATCATCGTACATCACGATCGATGAACAATAAATCTACTGATTCTATGTTTTTAGTAAAACACGAACAACAACAACAACAAGCAACATCATCATCAGCACCATCATCAACAAATTCAAATTCATTTATTATTGATGCTGCATCATCATCATCCCCATATGGACATGTGATGGATTATACAAATCATCCAAATAGTTTTTGGTCATTACCACCACCGCCACCGCCACCACCACTACCACCATCATATGCCAATTCTTAGATGAAACATTCTAATTTGAACAAATAGTTGTGAAAAGTTCTTTCGATGTTTTCTTTTCTGTCTATGTGTATTTATCTGCAAGAAAGTAATGAAAAAAAAAAGAAAATACGATATTTTCTTTAT